TAGCTGGCTGCCACGAATAGGCAGGAATATTCTATTGGCCAGCGTGAGAGCCAACAGACTGACTGGATAATGAATGTTATCTAGCATGCAAAAAAAATTTCACAAGCGGAAAAAAATTTAAATCTGCATGGCACTTTACTTCAATTAGCTCATTCGCTTGCTTAAACTCAACGTTGATTCTGATTCCGCAGAAATGGGTTGGGTGTGAAAAAGTATTTGTTGTTAACATTCTTTTTCATTTATTTTTCCAGTTACGAGTCCTTTTTTTAAAGCTGATCGTTTTGTGTTCATTTTGTTTAGTTCTTTTTCGTAACAGATTTAATGTTTAGTATAAAGCTTGGAAGAAAAAATATCGCTGCAACATTAGCACGGCAAAAAGGCACTTTTTAAAGGCAAGGAAGGGCAAAAATATTTTTTTAATCAAGTGATAGCGATTGCTGTATGAGTAGTTACGATTTTTTGAATAAAGCACGGGCAACGCCGGGCCATGCTGCTAGTTTAAATAAGAAAACAAAGAAAAAAAGAAATTTGGGAGAAATTCGTCAGTTAATAAAAATGTGGGACTGAAATTGTCCTAAAGAAAGGAAATAAGATATTCAATATTTGTAAAAATATATAAAAGAAAGAAATAGTTAAATTGAAAAATTGGTAAATGAAATACAGTGTAACCTTGAAAAATATTCTTATATTATTTTTCTTATATATTTAGATTTATCTTATATAATCATTTTCTGTTTATATCCGGGTTTGGTCGATTTTGTTGCCAAGGTAAGTTTAGGCTCAATTATCGTTTCAGAGATGTTCTTGGAAATATCCAGGTTTCTCTTATATCCGGGTTTGGTCGATTTTGTTTAGTAAAAGTTTAGGCTCTAATTTGGGAAAGAGAAAATCTCTCTTTATCCAGGTTTCTCTTATATCCGGGTTTGGTCGATTTTGTTTAGGTAAGTTTAAAGGCTCTAATTTGGGACCAGAAAATCTCTCTTATATCCAATTTTTTCTTATATTCAGGGTTACTGTAGAAAAAAAAATTTTTAATATTGGTCGACACCAAGAACGATGATAAACATATGAAATTCACTAATCTTGTAAGATTTTTTCTTTTCATGTGCCATGTCCTTTGAAGACGTAGGCGATCAAATCTCTACCTCAAAAATTTTGCAAAACTTCCCCAGACCACGTTCTGTTATCCGCTTGAGATTGTCATGCGTTGTTTTCATTGTCTCTCTTTCCCTCTATTCGACCCGTGAGTATCTGATTCTCCAAGCCCTCATTCCTCATTATGCGTTCCAGAAACTTCAGTATGTTATATTTTTTTAAATATTTATTTCAATTCTAACAAGTGAAGAGTCATAAATTAAATGCCACGTTAACAGAAACACGCTTCGTTTTTCTTTTAACAATGTAAAAAAATGTAATGTCTTTTAAAATTATTTTGTTTTACAAAGTTGAAGTTAATATTAGCAACGTAGTAGACTAAGAATTAAAAGTCCGATAAAATTTATTTAAATTAATTAACTTTTAAAATTGAAATAAATTTTAATTCTTAGTCTATTTTGCTTAATAGAATTTTAATGATCTAAACAAAAAAAAAATAAAAAAAAAATAAAATAAAATAAAAGATTGCATTGTTTTACTACCGTGAAAACTTGTAAATTGAAAAAAAATGTCCATTTTTGGACTTTAGATAAAGTTTCTGCACTTAAAAAATATATTAATTTTCAATTTTCTTTTAAATTTCTGTTATGGTCCGGTTTCTTGTACCACGGTGATAGTCCAAGGTAGAACCAATAAAGAACTCGAACACGGGTATGGAATAACACAGATATATTACAAACAGGAATATATACAGAGAAGTAGAAGTGTTAGTATGAACAATCAGGTTTAGTAGAGAGAACAATGTAGTCTCAACCAGTATCACTATTCCAATGTCTTGCAGTAATTGTCTGAACGCGACTCTGTTTCGGACTGCCTCTGACTCGACTCTTAACTCGACTTGAACTACTGACTGACTCCACTGGAACTACTGACTGACTTGAAGTATTGACTTAAGTATGGACTCCTGAGGCGCCGTATTTATTAAGTATGGAATAGTCCTTTATTATTATTATGAGTAAGATCCCATAACAAAAAATGATGACAATAATAATTTTCAAAGTTGATAACCAATTAAAAAATGTTGCTAAACCTGGAATAACCAAAAAGGGACGTTGTACATGATAATGGTAATCTCTATAACATCGAAAAATACAATACTCGCCAGCGCTTTAGGTTCCACTGCTAGGTTTGGACTACTCAGAGACCATAATACCCCGACTTACAATAGTGTCCAACGGATAAATGAAATTGGGACATACCTGTTAGTGTTCATAAGTACGGCATGTAACACATCCGTTCATTGAAAATTTGATGTGTTTTTATACAAAGCAGAATTTTATTAATTTTCGTAAATCTCAATTTTTTGTTTGAATTCTCCAATCAAAAAAATGATGATGGCGTTCACTCATTTACCATGCAAGTGTCAAAAATTTAAACATTAAATAATCCCAAAAGACAATAGACTAAATATAAGGATTTTAAATTAAAATTTGTTTATTCAACTACATCCGGATTTTCTTGCCTCTGATCGGGAGATTGGAGTTTGTGGAAAATATTAATCTTAATTGCCGTTTTTCCCAGGTCTATACCCACCAAAAAAATAAAATTAAATTATGAAAAAATAAAATGCATTTTTATTTAAAATCCCAGCAATAAATTTTTCTATAAAAATATAAAACAAATATATATTTTAGTAAAATTACCAACAATACAATTTTTAAGCAAATTAATCAAAACACATTAACAAAGTTTTTAGAAAAATTAACAATACATTTAAAAAAAAAAAGGTATGCAATAGCACATTCAAATGTAAATTTAATTGAAGCCATAATATTTTGTTTATTTAGATTTCGGCATTAAATAACCCATAAAGGTGTTGATACGTTATTTAAAAGAAAAATTTTCCTTCCATGACATTATTACCAAAAATTTACAATTTATAAAAAATGAAACTCTTTTACAAAATATAACTTCAACAAAACTAAAAATATAAATTTTATCTTTCCTCTAGCAATCATTTTTCTCAAAAAAACTCATATATATATATATATATATATATATATATATATATATATATATATATATATATATATATATATATGTGTGTGTGTGTGTGTGTGTGTGTGTGTGGTATATATATATATATATATATATATATATATATATATATATATATATATATGCAAAAATTAAAGTATCGTCTACCACTTATTTTTTGTGAAAGTCAAAACAAAATATATTTAGTTGAAGCCTAATATTGTGTTCATTTTATTTAGATTTCATTAAATAACCCATAGAGTTGTTGATCTTTGTCTCTAAACACTCTGAAATGAATCTTCCATGACATTAATCCAAATTCTCTTATAAAATTATAAAAAATTCAAACTATTTTTTCAAAAATATATACTTAACAAAATATTTTTTTTTGGTATGGTTTGTATGGTACCATTTAGCAATCACTTCTTACCTTCTATATATATATAAAAAAAAAAAAAAAAAAAAAAAAATTTAAATATTTTGATATGGAAAAATAATCTTACTTAATATGAGTAATTTTCCTTCTGTTAAAAACTAATATAGTCTAATTAAACTAAACAATGAAAATATTTTAAAATTTTAAAGTTGTAATTTTGAATTTGTAATTAAAATTGTAGTTAAATTGTGAAATTCAACCTAAATTTCTTTTAAATAAAACTACACGCATAAAAAAAGAATCCAAAAATAACACCTATAGTAAAAATAAAATTAATATGAAATACCATTCTGTCATGTAGCTTTTGAATAACCCATGTCCTTTCTTACATTTGAAATATTTTAATAGGTTTATATATAAAAGAAAAGTTTACTGAATCAGTTGAAATCCCTAACCATTTCTGCTGTCATATGTCATATAGCAAAAAAAAAAAAAAAAAAATGTAACCTGTACATACTTAAACTTAATGTTAAAATAATCCTACATAATATAATGGATTCTAATACATTTAACTGTTCTTAAAAAAAAAAGGAATAGGTTAAAGGAAATGATGGCAACTGGTTTTTAAATAACCAATTTAAAAAAATTTTTTTTTTTTTTTTTTTTAACTGAAATTCAGACGACATCCATTCAACCGACGTAAGGTTTTCAGTTTAAAATACATCTCACCCAAACCAAAATGTAGCTAATAATTGATCCTACAATGATATTGTCACGTGTGCCTTCTTCTAAAATCTGTCCCACCCGTGTTCAATTTGAGTTAGAATATTCTGTAACCATGGAAATGTATTTTTTTTGTATTTAATCTGTCCCCGGTATAAATTTTAAAAGTTACTCAAAATTTCTTAAGTTCCAAAGAAATAATGCTTTTAATTTATTTGTTAAAAATTGTAAAATTAGGGCCATTGTTTTAAGCTTCTTCCATGATACATGGTGCATCCTTCTGTAAAATAACATTTTTTTAAATCAATTAATTTTCTTCATATATATATATATATATATATATATATATATATATATAGAAAATGACTGAGTATCATCTAACTTGTTCAGTTGTGAAAGTAAAATAAATAAATTTTTTTTTTATTAATATTTTTGCTCAGCAAGAAAAGGCATAAATTTCGATGTTAAATGATCCTTCAGATGTTGATATGCCATTAAACAAACACATCAATAAAGATATCTAAAGAATATTGAATAAAAACTCTAAAAAAGTGCTGTTTGATAAACATAATTATCCCGTCTGAAGAAAAAAGAAAAAAAACACATTTCAATAAAAAAAATTTCAACATTATCAATTAAACATAACCTTCAAATAGAGAATGATAATTAAATCCAAAACAACATTTTTTCCAGGAAAAAGAAATTGTCAAATTTAAACTGATGTCAGGGTTTTTTATGAAACAAAAAGATTTAAGTCTCATGAAACTTAATGAATTTCTATTTTGGACATGGTTTTTATTTTTCTTTTTCTAAAAGAGGTAACATTACGTATTTTATTATAATTTGAGAATATATTTATGAGTCGCGTGTCATAGAATAGAAACTCAGGGTTTGTCATGCAAAAAAACAGGGTTCAATGGCCCCATATCCATGCCATGACTTTATGCATTCAATCAAGAGGAAATAAAATTTTGTTTATATAATAATTTTAAAAGTTGCCAACAATAGCAATGATCGTTTTTTTTTTTTTATTTATTTTATTTGGATATTTTTTTAATCTTCTTCAACCATGTCTTTTGCCCTGAATTTACTTTATATATGATACTTAAAAGATGTCTTAAAATGTAAAAATTTATAAAAACAAAACAAAGGAACCAAAAAAATAAAATTGAAAACTAAAAAAAAAAAAAAAATGAACATTATCAAAAAAAAAGTTTTCTGAATCTTTCAAAAAATGGTTCCGTGTTGGAATGGAATTTAAAGCATTGTTCTCATTGTCATTCATTGTTTTAGAGAGAAAACTTCCTAGGGAGTTTAAAATCTTCAGTATCGTCTTCTTTCCCAATTTCTTTGGGACCCCCCCAAGATTCCTAAGTTATACTTCCACGTTGATAATTACTATTCTAGATTTTTACCATTCCACCCAAGACTTCCGCAGTTCCTGCACTTTGCAACAAAACAAACCCTGGCCTTGTCATTATTACATATTCTTTTTGCCATAATTTTCTTAAGCAAGTCATATACATGCATATGGAATAAAAAATAAAATAAAATGAAAAACAAAATTTGTGTCAGATTGTCTGTATAAATTTTATATAAAACTATTCAAACTTTTGTGAGATACTACGTTAATTTTCAAAATTGATAATAATAATAATAAAACAATTCTAAAAGTATCTTTAAATGAAAATCTCACACAGTCATATAAGGACATCAATGATAGTCAAAATAATATTTTGAAACATTAATGCCGGGCCGTGATGGATGGCGCGATAGACTCGTGAATGTCTGTTAGCTCGATTAAATAATATTCTTACCCTTTCTCAGAGGACTTGTAACAATTTTATAGGACTACAAAATACACACAAACAGAACAATCAAAACTTACCGCCCAGACATCGTTATTAAAGACTTAAAAACAAAAAAAAGCCTCCATATTGATATGGCTGTCCCTGCAGATTGCAAGCTATCTTTGAAGATCTTCAAAAAGCTATCAAAAATACAAATACCTTGAAATCGAAATCTAAAAATGTGGCATATGAGAACATCAAAAATCCCTGTTGTAGTTGGAGCCCTCAGATTGATTGGTAAAAGGGTCCTATGGACTCATTGAACGGATTCTTGGTAGTCCATGCCTTAAAGAAATAAAACAAATTTTATTCAAAATTACAGCACATTTTATGTAAAATATGTGTGATCTAAGATTATTATTTTTTTTTTTAAAAAAAAGATTCATCAGTGTAAAATTTTTTTCTCGCCCTTTTCTTTTTAGCTTTTCTTTTTTTTCTTTCCGCTTTCATTTCTTTTGTCTTTTCTTTCTTTATTTCTTTAAATGGCGGTCTTGTGATTCATTTTTTGCAATTTTCTCAGTATTTGATTTTTTCACCTTCTTTTCTTTCATCCTTACCCTCCTCATAAGATGTTCATATATTTTCACCATTTCTCTTTCTTTCTTTCTTTCTTTCTTTCTTTCTTTCTTTCTTTCTTTCTTTCTTTCTCGTTACTTTTTGATCATCTCTCTCTCTCTCTCCCTCACTCTTCTTTCTTTCTCGTTACTTCTTGATCATTTCTTTTCTCCTCTTCTTTCTTTCTTTCTTTCCTTCTATTTTAGTTTTACTCACTTAATCTCTCTCATTTCTTTCTTTCTCTTGTTTCTATGTTTCTTTTCCTTTACCTTACTTTTTACTAATTTCTTTTTCTCTCTTTCTTTCTTCCTCGTTACTTTTTTGATATTTCTTTCTTTCTTTCTTTTCTTTCTTTTCTTTCTTTTCTTTCTTTCTTTCTTTCACTTTTGTTTCTCATTTAGTCTTACTTACTTCATCTATCTCCTTCTTTTTTTTCTCTTGTTTCTATGTTTCTTTTCTTTCTTTCTTTCTTTCTTTTCTTTTCTTTCTTTCTTTCTTTCTCGTTACTTTTTACGCATTTCTTTCTCTCTCTCTCTCTCTCTTTTGTTTTCTTCTCGTTCTCTCGTCTGTTTCTTTCTACTTTTTTCTTTCGCTTATATCTTTCTTTCTTTTTCTTTTGTCTTTTTTTTCTTTTGCTTTTCTTAAATTACTCTCTAGTCCATTTTTTTTTTCTTATTTGATTTATTTCCCTTCATTTCTTTAATCTTATCTCCTCCACACATGATGTTCATATATTTTCACCATTTCTTTTATTGATCCACAGCCAATCTCTGTTTTTACTTTTACTTACCGGCACTTATTTTCTTTTCTCTTCATCATTCTCCATATTTATTATCGCTTAACTAAATCCTCTTCTTTTTATTTGACCTTCTCTTTCCTGGGTATGACGATAAACTTCATCGGGCAGCAAGATTGAAGGTTTTGATGAGCGTGGAACTTATTTGCTGTTGTACCTAGTTACACCCTTACCTGAGGTGGTAGCACCTGTGAGGGTCCTAGCTATGGAAAAATAGTGTTTGGATTTTTTGTTTGAGGGTTCATAAAGTACAAAAATACATTATGGTAAAAATACCAGTAATATATTTATGAAAAATGACCAGTTTTATAGTAAAATGACAATTAATACAGAACCAAAGTATAAAAGAATAAAAATACATTTTCTATAACAAAATTACCAGCGGTAAATTTTATAATCAACAAACTATATATCTATAAAACATACATTTACCCTGAAGGTATAAAATTAGGTACAAAATATTTGTAGCTGAAGCCGTAAAATTGTGTACAAAATGTTTAGATTTTGGCATTAAATAACCCATAGAATTTACAACAACCCATTTTTTCCACTTCTTTAGATTTCTTTTTTTTCTGTATATTATTCTTTCTCTAACTGGGGCACCTCGAGGCGGTGTAATGGTTAGCAAGATTATCACGCTAGAACAATTACGTGAGCAATGTGTTCGATCCTCATTGGGTCCCCTAGTTTCGGCCTTGTGCCACATCTAAGCTGCGCTTGGAAAATCACTAAAAATTTTTTAGTAACAGCATACCGAACATGTATACTCAGTCCCAAAACATCTGATATGAATATGAAAATGCTTCAAATAATAATAATAATAATAATAATAATAATAATAATAAATGATACTGCGGAAGGTGCAGCAGATTTGAAGGGACTTGTTATCATTCCACCTCTAGCGATAACCACTAAATATCATGAAAATGCCTGAAATAATAATAATAATAACAACAACAACAAAGGATACTGTGGAAGGTGCTTGATATTTGAGGAACGATAATCATTTGATTCGAACATGTGAGCATGAAATAAAAACATAAAGTATACTGAGAAATGCGCTGGCGATATGCGAAGACCTGCTCTCTGTTAGACGCCAGATATTATCGCACATGTAAAGTATGGACGTAAAAAATGCTTGAAGTGTAATTATAAAGCATACTGAGTAAGGTGCTGAGGATTTGGGATGACTCCCTGTCACCTAATCCACAGTGACAACCACCAAACCCATCGTGTGAACATGTAAATTCATGAATTAATAATAAAAAAATATAATAATAATACTAATAAACGATACTGAGGAAGGTGCTGGTGATATAAGGACACTTACTAATTGTTAGAGTCTAGCAATAACCACATATATCTGGGGTGGACGTACAAATGCATGAAATATAATAATAAATGATACTAGGTAAGGTGCTGGAGATTTGAGAAGACTTGCTGTCACTTAATCCCCAGGGACAACCACCACACCCAACCTGTGAACATGCAAATGCATGAATTAATATTAACTGCAAAACAACAACAACGACATAATAATAATAATAATAATAATAATAATAATAATAATAATAGTGCTGGTGGTATGAGGAAAATTGCTCTCTGCTAAAGTCCAGCAATAACCTCACATATCTCATCCTTGGACCTATACACGCATATGTAATATTAAACGATACTGCGTAAGGTGCTGGAGATTTAAGAAAACTTGCTGTCACTTAATCCTCAGCGATAACCAACAAACCCATTCAGTGAACATGCAAATACATGAATTAATCATAACAACAACAACGACGACAACAACAACAACAACAACAATAATAATAATAATAATAATAATAATAACAACGGATGCTACAAAATTTGTAAACCAATACACGCGCATATACACGTGCGCCGAACATGCGCACATTGTTGGGTAGAGTTGGTGTAGCGTAGCCATGACAGAGCGCAAAGGAAGAAGAAAGAAATATGGGAAGACACGCCATTCTTACCCTACTGTATCCATCGTGACACAATACATTAGTTGTAATGCGTATTTGTCATTATTATCTCTGTCTAACTTCATTCCAGTTTGACAAAAGCCAGCCCGTTCCATGCCACCGCCACTTCCACCAACGCCCCAGCACTTACTCTTCTTTTTTTTTCCGGACAGTCAGTCCTATGCTTCATTTCTAAGTCCTTACTTCTCTTTGTTTCTCTCTTCTCTTGTCTTATCTCATCTCATCTCTCCCTCTCTCTCTCTTTCTCTCTCTTTTTGACTTTTCTTTTCTCAGCTAGCTTTTCCAGTAATCTGTCTCCCAGTTTGTCTACTCGCCTTCTCTCTTGTCTCTGAGGTGATTTTTACAAAATTTGTTTTTCTCTTTGCTCGTCTTATATATGGTTTGATTCCATCTTTGTCTCTCTCTCTTTTAAAAAATGTTATGTTCTTATTTCGTCTCTGCTATTCTTTTTTTTTTCTTTCTCTATCCTTTCGTTTCCAGTTACTTAGACATTTTTTCTTTTCGATGTCTTACCCAAACGTTTATTTAATTATGCCCTCCCTCCCCCTATACACACATTTTGTCTCTCTTAAACGTTCTCTCTTTTCGACATCTCAGCGTCTTTCTTCTCTCTATCCACTTTCATATTTGAGTTTACTTTTACGGAAGATGTTCTACCATCTGAAAATTTAAGACATCCGTTCGAATTTTCATTCCATTTTTTTTTTATCTTTTGCTTTTTCGTTGTAGTTTTCTTTCTCTTTTTTCATAAAATTTTTTTAGTTTTACACATTTTTTTGTTTTCATCTGTCTCCTTCTTTCTTTTCCTTAATTCTCTTATGTTTCTCCTTCTTTCTTTCTTTTGTTTCTTTGTTTTTTCTTGTTAAGTTTCTGATCATTTCTTTCCGTCTCTTACTTCTTTTCTTTTTTTTTTTTTTCTTTCTTATCTCATTTTGTTTTACCCACTTCTTATTCTTTTCATCTGTCTCCTTTCTTTCTTATAAGAATATTTGTAACCATTAAGTCGTTTTAATTTTTTTGACTTTTTCCAAAAATAAGTTTTTATTTTAAAATTATTATGAAAATTTCAGTTTTCTTAAGAACTTTTCTATTTCATATTATATGACAAAAGCTGCAAATATTTTTTAATGATCTGAAAACAAAATTTTGAAAATATAGAAACAATAATTTTTTTATTCAATTTCAGAATCTTTTTTCTATTATTTTTATTCTTCATTAATACAAACAAGAAAAAACAAATTTCTTTGTGTAGACGATTCCAAGATATGGGCGTCCATAGCTCTTTAAACGATTTGTGTCTTGCATGCATTAAATTTTTTTGTTCTTTTTAGAATTTCTGATTTATTCTTGATTCTTAATGTCTTTTCCTCATTTGAAATGCATTTGGGCCAAAAAAGCGTGAGTTTTCAGTTTGTTCTAAGAGAATAACGTTTGCACCTTTAAATATCGCGTTTAAGATTAAATTAAATTCTACCGTTCAAGATGCCACAGGTTTCACTGATATAGCTTAATACTTCATTTAAGTAGGATTTACTCTGTCCACAAATATTATTACATTTTTTGTTGACCGGTGGAGAAATGTTAAAATTAATTTTATCAATCTATATCTAAAGAATTTCTTTTCGAAAGCCTTGAGATGTCGATTGATAAAGATGAGAAAATCGAAGCAATGAAGAGTCATTTAAAACATTTTGGATCAGCTGATTTTTAGAGAAATTTGATAAACTGAGATCAAGGGGGTCTCATGGAAGAAATGGGGAAGAAAGCTGTCAATAAGGAGAATTTGTAAAAATAGAATACCTTTAGAATATTAGCTACGGAATAATAAGACGAATTAAAATACAACCGCAAAATGATCTAGTCAGTCAATTTTTTTTGTTACCAAATTATCATGTATCTTTCGATACATGACTGACAAAAGTTATTTTTATAGAGAAATTAGGCTGTCATTTTCAATTTCTACGGTAAACCAGTTCTCTTTCTTTTAGAACCCGGTCTGTCCTGCTGAAACCCATAGGGAGAAGAACAACATTCATACTTTTCCCAAGGGTATTAACACGTAAAGTGAATGTAATAAATTCGAAAAATTCAAACTCTTCTCTTCGATTCCTAAATTGGTCGGGGCTTTTTCCCATCATTACCTATTTGGGATGCAGATCAAATTAAAAATTTGTTGATAAAAAGTTAAACAATAAAAAACATTACCAATCTAGATTCAATAACCGTTGATACATTAAATGTATTAGATATTTAATTATTAACAAATATTTAGACAAATAATATACCTCTGTCCAATATGTTTTATTAGAAATTTATATGGGCATTGAGTATGAAAGAAAACACAACCACGAGACTTTTTTTCAAAATCTCATAATATGGTCGATTTGTCATTTTTAAAATGCTTAAAACCAATTTTATCAGTCAGATGAGGAGGCGATTCAGTGTACGGCACCTCACCCAAAAGGACCTGAAAAACCATACCACTGGTTGACACATTCCTTTTTGGGGTGAAAACAAAGATTTACGGAACTATGACAGAGGTCTATGGTTGAAATTAATAGCATCACATTTCATCATCGTGACCGAGGGTTTGATTTTTTGCCTTGTTGCATTGTTTGATCACGCTAGATAAAACTCTTCTAAAAAACTATAACTAAAGCCCGTTCAGCATAGTTATATGTATAAACCCTGTTTGGCTCTGTGGGTTTTGAACAAAACAAATGTATAAATTTTGTTTGACCTTCAGGATTTGAAAGTAGTTAAAGTAGATAATTCTTGATATTTTTGAGGTTTATTTATGCATATGTATTATTTTTTATACCCAATCTCCAATAGTCTGGGTTTTCTTTGCATCTTTAAAGGCCTGCCTTTTTCTTGTTTTTTGAACTTAGCTGTTTTGCTTGTGTAAGGTTGTCTGTATTTATGTGCGTATATATGTCCAATGTATTATCTTATTTATTCTCACTATTATATTATAAATATATGCACAATACAAAATAATCTTTCTACACAGAGTTGCCAGTTTAAGCTAGTTTTGAAAATACAATAATAAACAATAATTAAAATAT